AAAAAAAAAAAAAAAAAAAAAAAAAAAAAAGACATTACAGGCTGGGCGCAGTGGCTCACGCCTGTAATCTCAGCACTTTGGGAGGTTAAGGCAGGAAGATCACAAGGTCAGGAGATCGAGAACATCCTGGCTAACAGGGTGAACCTTCTCTACTAAAAATACAAAAAATTATCTGGGCGTGATAGCACGCGCTTGTAGTCCCAGCTACTCGGGAGGCTGAGGCAGGAGAATAGATTGAAGCTGGAGGCGCAGAGGTTGCAGTGAGCTGAGATCACACCACCGCACTCCAGCCTGGGCAACAGAGCAACACTCCATCTTAAAAAGCCCAGGTGAGGTGGCTCATGCCTGTAATCCCAGCACTTTGGGAGGCAGAGGTGGGTGGATCACCTGAGGTCAGGAATTCAAGACCAGCCTGACCAACATGGAGAAACCCTGTCTCTACTAAAACTACAAAATTAGCCAGGTGTGGTAGTGCATGCCTCTAATCCCAGCTACTAGGGAGGCTGAGGCAGGAGAATTGCTTGAACCTGGGAGGTGGAGATTTCAGTGAGCTGAGATTGTGCCATTGCACTCCAGCCTGGGCAATAAGAACAAAATTCCATCTCAAAAAAAAAAAAAAAGACATAGAAAGTTCATTCCAAATACCTAGCATTGATAATTATATGAGGAAATTAGTACTCAGTATTGTTAGTGAGTATATAAATCAGCAGTTTTTTTTTTTTGAGACAAGAGTTTCGCTCTTGTTACCCAGGCTGGAGTGCAATGGCGCGATCTCGGCTCACCGCAACCTCCGCCTCCCGGGTTCAGGCAATTCTCCTGCCTCAGCCTCCTGAGTAGCTGGGATTACAGGCACGCGCCACCATGCCCAGCTAATTGTTTGTAGTTTTAGTAGAGACGGGGTTTCACCATGTTGACCGGGATGGTCTCGATCTCTTGACCTCGTGATCCACCCGCCTCGGCCTCCCACAGTGCTGGGATTACAGGCTTGAGCCACCGCGCCCGGCCTATCAGCAGTTTTTTATAAGGAAATTTGACACTGTAAAATGTTAAATGTGAATATCTTTTTTTAACCAATAATTTTTTAATTTTTTTTTTTTTTTTTTTTTTTTTTTTTTTTAAGACATAGTCTCTCTGTCCCCCCAGGCTGGGGTACAGTGGTGGTCCTGGCTTACTGCAGCCCCAGTCTCGCAGGCTCTAGCAATTCTCCCACCTCAGCCTCCCCAGTAGCTGGGACTACAGGCGTGTGCTCCCACACCTGGCTAATTTTTTTCTATTTTTTTGTAGAGACAGGGTTTTGCCAGGTTGCCCAGGCTGGTCTTGAACTCCTGGGCTCAAGTGATATGCCTACTTCAGCCTCCCAAAGGGCTGAGATTACAGGCATGAGCCACCATGCCTGGCCCCCAATTTTGGGGGGGGGTGGGAGGAAATAAAAATGAAAAAAATTCTCGTGTATGTGCAAATATATATAGAGAGTAAGAATGTTGTGGGGTGCAGTAGTTCACACCTGTAAACCTAATACTTAGGGAGGCAGATGTGGGAGGACAGTTTGAGCCTAGAAGTTTCAGACCTGTCTGGGCAATATAGTGAGATCCTGTTTTTTACAAAAAAGGATACTTTTGCACTAATCTAGTAAGAATAAATAAAAATTATTTATTTATTTATTTATTATTTATTTTATTTTTTTTTTTGAGACGGAGTTTCACTCTTGTTGCCCAGGCTGGAGTGCAATGGTGCGATCTCGGCTCACCGCAACCTCCACCTCCTGGGTTCAGGCAATTCTCCTGCCTCAGCCTCCTGAGTAGCTGGGATTACAGGCACGTGCCACCATGCCCAGCTAATTTTTTGTTTTTTTAGTAGAGACGGGGTTTCACCATGTTGACCAGGATGGTCTCGATCTCTTGACCTTGTGATCCACCCGCCTCGGCCTCCCACAGTGCTGGGATTACAGGCTTGAGCCACCGCGCCCGGCCTGAATAAATAAAATTTTTTTAAAAAAGAATGTTAATTACTGCCCTGTTAGTAATAGTAAAAAACAAAACCAGACAGCACTGATAAGAGATTGATTACACAAAACATGCTGCATCCTCACAATGAAGTGCTATGAAACTGTTAAAAATGAGATAGATGGCTGGGCGTGGTGGCTCACACCTGTAATCCCAGCACTTTGGGAGGCTGAGGCGAGCAGATCATGAGGCCAGGGGTTTGAGACTGGCCTGACCAACATGGTGAAACCCTGTCTCTACTAAAAATACAAAAATTAGCTGGGCTTGGTGGTGGGCGCCTGTAATCCCAGCTACTGAGGAGGGTGAGGCAGGAGAATCGCTTGAACCTGGGAGGCAGAGGTTGCAGTGAGCTGAGGTCATGCCACTGCACTCCAGCCTGGGTGACAGAGTGAGACCTCTCAAAAAAAAATAAAAGTGAAGGTGCCCTTTGCTTTATTCTAATCCTCTTATCTCTTAAAGGTTTGTGGAGGCAAGTTGCAGTGCCTCACACCTGTAATCCCAGCACTATGAGAGGCTGAGTCGGGCAGATCGCGTGAGCTCAGGAGTTCGACACCAGCCTGGGCAATATGACAAAACCCTGTCTCTACTAAAAATACAAAAAATTAGCCAGGTGTGACGGTGCGCCTGTAGTTCCAGCTACTCAGGAGGCTGAGGCAGAAGAATTGCTTGAACCCGGGAGGCGGAGGTTGCAGTGAGCCGAGATCACACCACTGTACTCCAGCCTGGGCAACAGAGCGAGAGTCTCAAAAAATAGCTGGGCATGGTGGGGTGCATCTGTAATCCCAGCTACCTAGAAGGCTGAGGCAGGAGGATTGCTTGAGCTGGGGAAGTTGAAGGGGCAGTGAGCTATGTGCAGTGCAGTACAGTGAGAAAGTGATACTCTCAAACAACATGGAAGTAAGAAAAGTTTTTATTTTGTTTTTGTTTTTTTGAGACGGAGTTTCACTCTTGTTACCCAGGCTGGAGTGCAATGGCACAATCTCGGCTCACCGCAACCTCCGCCTCCCGGGTTCAGGCAATTCTCCTGCCTCAGCCTGCTGAGCAGCTGGGATTACAGGCACGCGCCACCATGCCCAGCTAATTTTTTGTAGCTTTAGTAGAGACGGGGTTTCACCGTGTTGACCAGGATGGTCTCGATCTCTTGACCTTGTGATCCACCCGCCTCGGCCTCCCAAAGTGCTGGGATTACAGGCTTGAGCCACCGCGCCCGGCAAGAAAAGTTTTTAAAACTTAAAAGTACCTTCTGACCTCGTCAAAGGCAGCAGGGTTAGATTGAATAAGTCTTATGGGAGCATATGGGAACAACCAATGTTCTTCAACTTGATGAAATAAAGCAGTGTGGGGATTATCCACTTTGATAGACATTACCCTGTGATAGACGTTACTATTCGCCTCTCCCCTTTATCTCTCTCAAAATACTAACTTCTTGAGTCATTACATGGTATATGGTCAGGAAATGCCAAGAAATCTTAATACTAGCCTAAGTAAGATTGATTGATTGGAGTCAGAGTCTTGTTCTTTTGCCTAGCTGGAGTGCAGTGACACGATTTCAGCTCACTGTAACCTCTGCCTCCTAGGTTCAAGTGATTCTCCTTCCTCAGCCTCCTAAGTAGCTGGGACCACAGATGTGCACCACCACTCCTGGCTAATTTTTGTATTTTTAATGGAGATGGGTTTTCACCATGTTGGCCAGGCTGGTCTTGAACTCCTGACCTCAGATAATCTGCCCATCTTGGCTTCCCAAAGTGCTGGGATTACAGGTATGAGCCACCCTGCCTGGCCAGTAAGTTACTTTTTTATTATTTATTCGAGACGAAATGTCCCCACTGTCGCCGGCTGGTGTGCAGTGGTGCGATCTTGGCTCACTGCAACCTCCGCCTCCCAGGTTCAAGCCATTCTCCTGCCTCAGTCTCCTGAGTATCTAGAATTACAGATGTCCACCCTCATACCTGGATAATTTTTTTTTTAATTTTTATTTTTAGTAGAGACGGGGTTTCACTGTGTTGCGGAGGCTGGTCTCAAACTCCTGACCTTGTGATCCACTGGCCTTGGCCTCCAAAAGTACTGGGATTACAGGTGTAAGCCATGATGCCAGGCCTGTTTATTTTGTTTTGTTTTTTTGTGGGGGGGGGTGGGAAGGGGAAGACTTAAGTTATTTTTTAAACCACATGTATTAAAATGATAAAGACAAATAATTGTTTATCAGTGTCATTTCATTTGTATTAATGATCAAGAACCAGCCATGTGGTCAGGCATGGTGGCTCATGCCTGCCTGTAATCCCAGCGCTTTGGGAGACTGAGGTGGTTGGATCACCTGAGGTCAGGAGTTTGAGACCAGCATGGCCAACATTGTGAAACCTTATCTCAACTAAAAATACAAAAATTAGCTGTGCATGGTGGTGGGTACCTGTAATCCCAACTACCAAGAGGCTGAGGCAGGAGAATCACTTGAACCTGGGAGGCAGAGGTTGCAGTGAGCTGAGATTGTACTCCTCACGCCAGCCTGGGTGACAGAGCAAGACTCAGTCTCCAAAAAAAAAAAACACACACACACACACACACAAAAAAACGGTTTAGTACTCGGAGACCAGAGAAGAAAAAAAAAAAAGTGTACAGGCACAGTGGCTCATGGCTGTAATCCCAGCACTTTGGAAGGCTGAGAAGGGCAGAATATAAGGTCAGGAGATCAGGGTCATCCTGGCCAACATAGTGAGACCTCATTTCTACTAAAAATACAAAAAACTAGCTGGGCATGGTGATGCATGCCTGTAATCTCAGCTACTCAGGAGGCAGATGCAGGAGAATCGCTTGAATCCGGGTGGCGGAGATTGTGGTGAGCCAAGATTGTGCCCCACTGCACTCTAGCCTGGCAACAGCAAGACTCCCTCTCAAAAAAAATCCACCATGACCCTGATTTTTTTTTTTTTTTAAGACGGAGTTTCGCTCTTGTTACCCAGGCTGGAGTGCAATGGCGCGATCTTGGTTCACGGCAACCTCTGACTCCTGGGTTCAGGCAATTCTCCTGCCTCAGCCTCCTGAGTAGCTGGGATTACAGGCATGCGCCACCACACCTGGCTAATCTTGTATTTTTAGTAGAGACAGATTTCTCCATGTTGGTCAGGCTGGTCTCAAACTCTTGACCTCAGGTGATTCTTTGGCCCCCCAAAGTGCTGGGATTACAGGCATGAGCCATAGCGCCCAGCCAGCCATATGTATTTTATACTCAAAATGGGTCTGCTCTGTTAGCTAGATACCATAGGGTGGAGGATGCAGTTGAAGAGTTTAATTCCTGCCCTTCAGCATAATAATTTCTAATCTAGGTCAAAGGCAGATATTCTCTAACTGTTGGTGAAAGTAGATGGGGGAATGGGGTGTGAGAAAAGGAAGATTTTGTTCCTCATTTCTAATCCGGCAGGCCTATGAATGTCTTGGTACATACATAGTTCCCTGACAAAAGAAAGCCATCATGATGGAGAAGTTTCTTGGGAAATGGATATGACTTGGAGTGTTTGCTCAGTGAGATGTTTGAGACCTAAACAGAAGTGGTACTGAGCAACAACTCAATAGGACTCAAAAGTTCCAAGGCAGTTGGTAAACGACAGTTACAAATAAAGCAACGGCAGAGAAAATGTGTAGGGGAATGAATGGGGAATTAGGCCCAGAAGATGCTGAAACTGTGTAATAAAGATGTCATGTCGCACACCTTGGAGTATCCATCTGAGAGCTTGCTTTCCATTGTCAGCATGCTGGACAGCAGTAGTCAGCCTGACTGGAGCAATGAGCTCATAGCAGAACGGCTACAGCAGCAAGTCTCTGAGCTGCAGAATCAGCTGGATGCTGAGCTGGAGGAGAAGAGAAAAGTTTCTCTGGAGCTGTCCAGGGAGAAAGGTAGGTTGGACGTTGAAGAGCTCTCTCAAATGTGGTACCCTATACATCTGGTTTGGGAGAAGAGAACTTAGGCCATCATTTTTTAAATTCCCTCACTTGATCCTATTTTTTTTTTTTTTTTTGACGGAGTTTCACTCTTGTTACCCAGGCTGGAGTGCAATGGCACGATCTTGGCTCACCGCAACCTCCGCCTCCTGGGTTCAGGCAATTTTCCTGCCTCAGCCTCCTGAGTAGCCGGGATTACAGGCACGCACCACCATGCCCAGCTAATTGTTTGTATTTTTAGTAGAGACGGGGTTTCACCATGTTGACCAGGATGGTCTCGATCTCTTGACCTCGTGATCCACCCGTCTTGGCCTCCCAAAGTGCTGGGATTACAGGCTTGAGCCACCGCGCCCGGCCCGATCCTATTCTTTTGTGGGTCGTGGGTAACCAGAATGAAAACACTAGCAATAGATAAGATCTACAATCAGGAAAGCATGACACCTACCACTCATGCATACTTTTTTCTATATAATGTCTTTCTATTTGAGAAGATGCCTTTTTTTTTTTTTTTTTTTTTA